GGGTAAATCTAAGTAGTTGAGAATTAATTTAAAATACGCATCGATGCCTTTACAAAATGCCAACACTCCTGATGGTACTAACAAACTAAGAGTTTATCTCTAATAAGACGACTAGCTGTTTATTAAACTTCCTTTCTTTCCCTATCAGACTCTAAAGTTTATTAGTTGACAATTGTGACATTTTGCTATTGCTATTTTAAAAATATATATATATTTTTTTTTTTTTTATTGTAATTTAATCATTTTTATTCTTAATTAAAAATTGTTACATTTATTTATGTATATAAATTAAGTAAAAAGGGCGTTTATCCAAAAATATAATATATTATATTATAAAAAAATATTTGTCATGTTTTAAAATTCCAAGAAAGAAAAAAAAAAAAAGATTAAACAATAAAGTATAAGGTATAAAATAGTGAGGTAAAGTAGAATAAGTAAAGAAAATACTGGTGAGGGAAGCCTGATGGACGCCTGCTCTGGCTGGCTTGACAAATGAATTAAGAGTAAATTGCTAAACTCTGTTTAATTTGACCAAATGAATTTTGTTCCATCACCCGCGACCCCGAGGAACCCTAGAGCGCACTAAAACTACTTTTGGGCTCACAGAGACAGATAAGAGAGAAAAGTAAAGTAAAGCCCAAGATTTTACTGGGGAAACTTTCAAATAAAATCTTGTTTTCTCGGATCCCCGCGGCGACTTGTTGCCAACGAATTAAACTCTGTTCAGCAATGACTTTTTTTATAATTAAGATTAATGTTAAAAATACGTGATAACACTGGGTAAACTAAGATGAGAATTTTTGGCTCTGATGATAATGATTACACTGCAGTCGGTGTTGATTTTTAAAAACAATTTTTTTATCCTAACCTAATTATAATTGTGTGATTGTAATTAATTGAATGGCGAGAGATATCATTGTCATTGAGGAAATTAGTGGAGGTACTCTGGTGGCTGCTCATTAAACCAGTATTCACGGGCTAATAACGAACGCTTGATTCTCCAAATGTATTATAAAGCAGATCCGAGATCCGAGATTAAATGATCCCCTGACTATTAATTCACGTGGCGTCCTTGTGTGAAAACACGTGAGTTGAATATCATTAAGGGAAATTACAATTATAATTATAAAATAGTGAAAATACCAAACCGTAAAAACAATATAATGATTGATGTCTCTCTATCGAATTAATTAATTAACAAATAATATATAGAGTGACATAATAATAATAATAATAATAATAATAATAATAATAATAATAATAATAATAATCTCTTTGTGTTATTTTAATCGGACATGAACAATAGTATTATCAAGGAGTTGACTAATTTGTTGATAGAGCTCTGGCTTTGTTTCCTGTATGTTGATTTCACCATCGTTGGTAATATCCTGTGGCCCTCAGGGGTATAACTGCGTCGTTATACACTTTGAGAGCACAAGGGTGCTGGTGTATGCTCTTCCACCAAGTCCGTTCCGGCTATTGTGGTTCTTGTTGATTATTGATTTCCATTTAATCACGCGGTTTAGGAACACATACCACCCCCTTACCATATCTATACACAAATATATTTCTAACAATTTATCAATTCATTTTATTTTTATTCAAAAAATTAATAAAAGTGTTGAAGCTGAGACAACGAGCAGTGTATTTGATTCATCATTAAAGTAGATAAAAATAAGTTGAATGAAAATCTGTTGCCTCGATATAGAATTCGTTTTATTGATTATAGAATATACCTTTGATCAATTCTTATTCTGAAGAATTTCAACAAGATTAAAACCTTTTCAGCCATCTTCAATAAATATATTAAAAAATAAAGTTATATTCAACTATTATGTTCTTTTAAAGGGAATTCAACTGGATATGGAGATTCATAAAATCAACATTCAGCGCGTCTAATATCAAGTATCCCAAGTACTCTGTACAATACAATCGTTGTACGGATATCAAGTTCCGTATTAACGAGAAAAACAACTAAAATAGTCAATAAATATAAAAAAAAAGTAATAGATGGAAGAGTATCGCGCTTCTCTGCCTTCCTAAATTCTATTTTTCCTCTTCTTCTTCTTCTTCTTCTTCTTCTTCTTCTTGCTCCGTTATTGAGAAATGTACGATCTCTGTATATTAAATGACGCATACATGGCTCACTAGTCAAATTGAATTCGAGATTCGAGGCTATTGGCAGTTACTCAATAAACCTCGACAATGGACTGGATTTCATCACCATTTTAGATACATTTCTTCCAGGTGAGGAAACTACCACTATTTCAATCATATATTGTTAACCTTTAATTCTCAATATAGAATAAAAGAATTCCATATACATATCGTAACAACGACTTTTAACTATTTCAAAGCTTTCAAATTCGTGAAAAAAAAAAAAAAAAAAAAAAAAAACTAATTGGATTATCGTATTATTAATCCAGAGTCTCGTTACTGTTTAGTTATTGAATTTATTTAAAAAAACTTTTTTTATTTCCAATATTTTCATCAATTATTGTTGAAACTTTCAATAATGGCACTCGATGTTTTTTATTTATTTATATTTTTTGTTGTTCGAATCGTGCATTGCGATTTAAAAACCCCGATTAGTGGAAAAATCACACCCACTTATTAAACTAAGCTTTTATTTTTAGTTATTATTGTACAAAAAGTTATTCTTGGATCGAGTATTATTCTCCACCCTCACTAACTATAGAATCTCAATGGATCAAACGGCTTATTACGCGACTGAGTGTACCATTGTTAAGAAACACAACACTGCTTACAATTTTTACAATTTATAAGTATTGATTCCCTAAAAAAAAAAAAAAAAAAAAAAAAAGAAAAATTTATATTTTTTCTAATAATCACAAATTAATAAAAAAAATTAAAAAAAACATTTGTTATTTACAATAATTAAACGGTAAAAATAAAAAAATAACCAAAAAGAAATAGAATGGACGATGGGGTAGGTCTGGTGTTTTATAAAGTTTCGAATTGTCAGCAGAAATAAATTCAAATTCCCGAGTGATCTTTTAATTTAAAGGCGGATATAGCAAGGAGTAAGATATAGCCTCGGTACCCTTTAAATTAGCATAACAAAACGCCACAATTAATAAACTTCTCGGTTGTTGTATAAAATGCTCCCTGAGAAAGAGAGAAAGGGTGACCAACAAAAGAGCATTTGCGTCCTTTCACCATATTTTGCCATTTCATTTCCCAACACTACTCCTCAAATCCCTTTTCTCTTTATGCTTGGGAGTTTGTTCTCTTTAGTGGGCTTTGGGCTTTCAACTCTCCAGATATCACAGACCCAAGGGCTAAATAAGTCAAACTTTATAAGGAATCCGTCGTACAAACTTTTACTTTTTTAGTCACCAGATACTTTTAATATTTCACTCGTTCAGAAAAAAAAAAAAAAAATCATATATTTTTACCTACATTGGCTAAGTAGTATCAGTCTTTACTAACAACCCAAACCGGACAGGGTTTCAGTCCCGCTTTGGGTATATTTAACATTTATATTTCCTTTTAATAGATTTATTTTTTCCAAACAAAATTTAGTTAAAGCTCGTACAAGCGATCATTAAACCTCAAAAGCAAGTAGTTTGGTTAGTTTCCTAAATTGTTTTACCTATCATTCAGACAAGTTAGGGTAACCCTATCCTGGGTGTACAGCTGTATAGACAGTATCTCAAAATTTGTGTGCATTATTCATCAAACGAATCCTAGAGCGACTAGCAGAAATAGAGTTGGCGAAATACTAAACCAGACTGTTGAATACCACCTCCAGAAAATACAACCATAAACTAACCCCGCTTCTTCTTAATACATCAATATAGGTATAATAAAGTAACGGAACCCAGGAACCCAGGAACCCAGGAACCCAGGAAAACTCGTCAAGTAAACATTTCCAGAGACAAGGAAAAGGACGGCTGCAATATATATATATATATATATATATATATATTTATAATGGAGATTGCGTATATCACTCCTCGGCTGCTTAATATTTCAGACTGTCTCAGGTTAACTTGATGCATACTTATGCCAGAATCCGTGACTCCTGACAACACTCAGAGATGCACTATAGCTACACATCTTACAAAGATTCAAAAATCTCAACATAAAAACAGGACACATTAATTATATATTTATCCTTCGTAAAATAATAAATGAGAGAGCTATTCTATCGGTTGAGCGAGTGGGTAATAAAAGTAACGTCGAACATGGAAGGTGAAAAGAAGGAAAAAGAGCCCCGTGAAAATATCAACCAACAATGTGCCAAGATGTTTGATGACGTCGATCGATCACTCATAACTGTCAGCATTCACTGGCCCCAACTGTTGGTTTCAGTCATGTCAAGCTTCACCGCTCGATACAATAATAACAACAACAACAACAACAACAACAACAACAACAACCACCACAACAGCAGTTGCAGGAGTAAGAGGAAGAGGAGGAATAGTTGTTGGTGAAGCGATGCGCCTCTTATTCGAGCTTTTCACGCCTCGAGTTTGTTCGATTTCTTCCAATCGAGTGGAAAACTGACATACCGTGTTCAATAACTTAAATATATTATGTATTATGTGTAATACAACTTTACCCTGTACTTTATAAAGGAAAAAAACTTTGAAATTATTGTTGTTGTTATTAATAATAATTTAATAATATTAGAGGGTGGGCGAGGTGTAAATTATAAATAATGGAGGCAAGTGAAAATAATAAATGAAAAAATACTGTCATCAGTAGCAGGTGCTCTCTAGACGATTGCGTCCCTCCCTCTTATTTCCCTTAACCTTAACCAACAACCGTTCTTTAGGACGAGCCGTACTACATTTTTCTCAAATAAAAGAGTGCATTATTTAAACTCCTGCACTTATTTTTGTCACACCGGAGATGTAAGCAATTCCGTAGACTGAAATTGAGCTATTTTTCTGCATTTTCTTTCCACTTTTAAATTTGTCAATGTATTATATCATATAAAAATTTTAAAACGTATAAATAATGGATCATTATATAGGATTATTATCAGTGTCTAAAGGTTCGCTATGATTAACAAAGTGTTTTAAATTCTTCACGGTCATTGATTTTATTAACTCGATGTCACGTAGCATTATAATGGGATTTGTCAGTTCATGAAACCCAATGTACTTTGCGGTTGGATGGGAATCGCAGATTGCTTTTCCTTGTTCTCCCGTTCAACAAATATATTTAAGATAACTGCTCAAACTAAAAATCACCTCTAAAATTATATAAGTATTGCCCAAAAATATTTATATATATTATAATTAAAAAATTTTTAATGTAATTTCATTTAAAAAAAAGCTCCATTGTACTCGATAAAAAATATTAATAAAGTATACGATGTAAAAGGACGAATTGTTGATTAAAATCCATTATGTAATTAGTTGTCGTGCGTTGAACTATAGCCTTATCACATACGTAAATAATAATACACAACTAAGTAATTAAAGTAGTGATATTAATTAAAATTAACAACCATATTAGCAGTAACAACAACAATAATAATTATTCGGGAAAGTAAAACTAAAAAAGTTTGACGTATAATAAAAAAAAGAAAAAGAAAAAGAAAAAGAAAAAGTTGGGCGTTTAATATCAGAAAAGACATAATCTGCAATATAAAAGTATATACGAAAGAGTTTATTATTTATAGTGTTGTGACTTTATTTCTTTTTATATTTTCTTAATGTTTATCGTTTTCAGTTTTTCACTTTGTGAAATTTCCTTATTTTTTCCATCCGAGTCTCTAATCTACATAAATCGTGGTAGTCGGCCACGGGATAGCTCGGGAAGCCTCCAGCTACTTTGCTAACTACCTACGACCACAATATTGGTATATAACAAAACAGAAAACAGACTAAGAAGAAGAAGAAGAAGAAGAAGAAGAAGCATAACGGGTAGAGAATTTAGTTTACCTGCTCGGAGAAGCTTTTCAGAAGGGAAAACCAAGATCTTTATTACAGCAATAAAGCGAAACCTCGGAGCCTCGCCGTTCAAGTTACAAATGACTAAAAACTATCGCTGCATATGCCTTACACCTGGTTACCCACCCAATGGGGGCTCCGACCTCTACATTCATATCTTATCACAGTTAAGTCGACGACGACGACGATCACTAACAACTATTTCACAATATAAATTTTCTCACTCGGTCTTAATATATACCTCGAAAACGGACCCGGGAGATGAAATAAGAGATGAGGTAAATCTTGGTAACCCGCTACCATATTTAACTGGATTTATTTAATAATTGTTATAAAAGACTCCCCATTATCATTTTCACCAGGGTGGCAAAGATCACCACCAGTCTTATAACAAATATTAATACCTTGTTTTTAATTTAAATTAATAAGTTTGGTGTTAAAAAAAAAAAAAAAAAAAAAAAAAAAAAAAAATAATATCAAGGATTGTTTGTGATGAATAGGATGGTCAGCGGGTTGAAGGGTTATAGGTCGCCAGTGGTAATCGAAAATTCGTGCCTCGTAAATTTCCATTTCGGACCTCGGCTCTAATTGCTAGGATAATCGTCGGGTGCTCGCTTCATTTCGCGGTCGCCGGCTCACTGCACATTCGACGACTCGCGGCGCATAATTTATAACAGTACGCAGTACCCTACGCAGAGAGACAAATACGCATTTAATGAACATACTATATGGAATTTCGAGCATGTGTTGTTTTATTCAACCTAAAAATTACTGAAGAAAGGATGCTGATGCACGACACAGACCACATCAGACCCGCGAGTTTCGTGATCTGCATATTCATTTTTTTTTTTTTTTTTTAATATTCCTGATACCCCACTGTAATTTTATTTTCCCGTTTTTATGTCGAATTATTATTTGATAAATATTCCGGGCGCAGTTTTACTCAAATTAATTCGATATTTTTTTTCTTTTTTAATATCAAATATATGTTTCGGAAAAAAATTTCGATGATGGTTGTAAATAAAGCTTTTAAAATATTTAATTACTGTTGAATAAAATTAAAAAAAAATAGTTGTTAATTAAAGTAATCAAAAAATAACAATTTTATTGAGTTAAATTGCATATCACATTACCCGAGTTTGCTACCCGGGTCTACAGATGTATAATTGTGATTTGAAATTTGATGCTGGTGATGCAGAAGCAGAAGTAGTTGGAGAGGTGGAACCAAAAGTATAAGCAGAGAAGAAGCACCAGCAAAGACGACATCAGTAGGGATAAAGAAGCCAATGAGGTTGGGTCAAATGGAAAAAAAATAAGAGACGCCGAGAGATAGTGAAAAGAAAAAGGGGACGTTGTAATAAAGCAAGATAAGGATAAAGCACGTACAGCAAAGACTACTCATCCTTATACTTATACTTATACTCATAACAGCTTCGATTTCAAGGTGTCGACAGATCAAACTGCTTGCTCCGAAGAATAAAGAAAAAAAGTAAAAAATACTTGCGCGTCTCTTAAGAATCCATCGCAAACGAAGAGCTTCTCCCTTTAAGAATTTTTCTCTTTTCCTTCTTTTCTTCTCTCTTTTTATCTTTTTTCCATTAATTTTATTTTGACTTTATACTTCTTGTTGTCTGGCCTCATTCTACGACTCAGTTTTCCCTCTTTCATGTTCGATATCATCTACGATGTTTTCATATTGCAAGCTCAAATTGACAAATCTTGAATTTCACCCACGGCATCTTTTATTAGTTCTGCGCCTAACAATAAACAATAAACAATAAACATCAACATAAACATGCTTTTGTGATCAATTAGTATTGCTTTCAAAGAGTTATGGTAGAATGCGAAAAAATGGTATTCGCGAGTTTTATAACCGAGCACTTTCGAGAGTTAATGAGTGCAGAAAGGTTGTCAAAGAGATTCCGATCGATACTCTTTAAAGGTAGACACTGTCATCATGGTTTGTGTACAGAGAATGTCAGTATTGGCCCACTTATTCGCTACCATCGGCTAGATGTATACCTACACTGTTCCCCAATAATTGACATGTCACTATAATTATGTTTGCAGTAATTGAAATTACGACATTTACCCTTCCCGATCATGCACTTTGTCTCCGCGTTTTATTTTACAATTAAATATTCATTTTTGTACACTGATAATATAAAAAATTATTTATTTTTTAATTTGAGATTGTTAATTTTTTAATAAACTCAAAGTACCCAAGACTGGACTCGAACCCTGTCCAGTCCGCGCGGTTAATAAAGATCGATTCCACTTAGCCATTTGAATTTAATTATATGATATAAAAAAAAAAAATTCAACGGTTCAATTATATATACAAACAACTTTTAATTTAAATCCTCTATTGATTTTTTTTATTGACACTTTTTGCTTTGTTGTCGATATTAAATGAGTAGCGTTTTTTTTTTTTGTTTTTTTTTTTTTTTTTTAACAAGAGTAAAAAAATTATCTAATAAAGTGATTTTCTTTTGATCAGTTTTTTACCAAGCAAGAGTGATTATCGTTTGAGCGATAAACGAGTTCTCTTCCGTGATAACATATATCAATTGGCAATAAAATAATTTTATTATAAATATTTATATCCATAAAAGTTTAGAATAAGCAATTTAATCTTAAATTCTGGGGAAAATTTGATCGGTATATTTATTTCTATACAAGGATTTAGAATATTCGTACGTGTCTCAGTTGAATGTCTTGGCTCAATTCCTTATTGGAATCCGAAACGTTTCAATAGAATGGACCCGAGAAAAACTAAATTCCTACTACGTTGCCATTATAACCACTCTGAGAATTTAATAATCTGCACGCATTATTTTTACTCTTCGCAAAATAAAATAAAATTTCATTATTTTCGAGTTTTATCCGCTAGATGGAGGGAGTGTTTCTCACAAACAGAGTTTAAACAATAAAATTTATAAGACCGCAAATTGTCCGAGAATATCTTCCGAGTAATTACAGCGAGCTTAAGAATAAAATTCTTATTTTCCGACAATCAAGTTCTCTTTTTCCTCCGTGTATTTACACAATCGGTTACCAAATGTTTAATCCGATGACGAAGGGCGAGAAGGAGCCTTATGTACTCGGTCTTGGGTCTCACAGGCTTTTCTTCAATAAGATACCTCGGAACTTTTGAAAGCTTGAGCTTTCAAAAGAATCAAGTTTCTCCGAGTTTGAAATCTCTTTGGAATAGAGCTTATGCTTCACCACTTGAAAAATATCTTTTATATATAATAGTAAGTATTTTATATAATAAAAAATTAATCCCCCTTAAAAATCAACAGTAAGACAAAAGGACAAACTTTTTTTCCTAATCAATAAATTCTATTGAATAAATAAAAAATAAAATCTCGGTATCATTTCAATGATAATATCACCGTGAATTTAACGATCCTGCTCATTAATTTTCTCATAAATATTCAAATCAAAGTCTTTAAAACGTGCCGGGGAATTTTAGTTATTTTAAACTAGGCTTACAGTAACTAGTAAGGTCAAGAAAATAATAATAATTAAAAGCCTAAGAAATAAATTTATAAAAAATTATAATGCGTACAACAGTTGTCATTTCAGGAGTCCGTTTATGTCGTATATAATAGTGTTTTTATTTTTTTTTTCAACATCCGTCTGTATTTAAGCTTACACTTATATAAGTGAGTGCGTGAGTAAAAGCTCTGAGTAAAATCGTAAAAACGGTACGGGTTAAATTTTTTTTTTTTTTTTTTTTTTTTTTTTTTTTTTTTTTTTCGCGTATATGTACCGTGATGACAGCGATGTCGACAGCTGGAATGTGAGTAACAAAATAAAACATTTAAATGAGAAAAAATAATACTATTAAAATAATAGCCTTGACAAAAAATTATTATATTTTTGTAATTATTTATTACAAAGACGAGTCTCGGGTGTTTATTATTTTATTTTTTCACCGTCAATGTGTGGAGAATAAATTGAATAGTATATAAAAAAATGTTTCTATAGCAAAATTTATAAGAGTTAAGTAACCCTTTTTTGAGTGTGAAAAGCTGAAGCACCATCGTGATGATGATCATCAAGGGTGAGTGGTAAATATATATATCGAGTAGGAGGAAGAACAACAACACTTTCCTTTCTACGTCACGCGAGCATGTAGCCATGTATACCGTGTTAAATTAAAGCTCTAGCAATGTATTCCGAGGTTCAATGTAACCGCATCCTTGTTACGC